TTTAAAAAAGATTTATTATATATAAGTTATTAAAATTATACTACAATATATATATATATAAAATATAAAATTGATCTTTCTATAAAAAATAATAATAACTTAATACAAAATTTTTCAAATTTAATATATAACTATTTTTATATCTAATAAATAACTTTACTTAATTACTCAAAAAAGATTGACTATAAAAAAATTATTAAGATTATATTATAAAGTATATATAAAATATAAAATTAAACTTATTGTAAAAAATAGTAATAATTTGATATAAAATTCTTTAAAAAACTTCAAATTCAACAAATAATTATTCTTATTTTTGATAAATAACTTTATTTAGTTACTCAAAAAAAATTATTATATAGAAATTATTGAAATTATATTGCAAAAAATATTAAAATCAAATTTATATTTTTAATAAATTTCAAAGTTATATATTTATTGATACTATTACAAAAAAATTTGTATAAATTTGTATTTTTGCATTTTTGCAATTTTTTGCAGATTTTTATAATTTTGATCAAAAAAAATTGTAATAATTAATATATTTATTAATTTTTATAAATCTAATTATTTTTAATTTTTTTAATGATAATTAAATATTAATAATTATAAAAAATTATTCAAAATTTTAACTAAATAATAATAATTATATAGTATTATATAAAATTATAATTAATTAAAATAAATAACATTTTTTTAATATTTATTAATAATAAATAATATTAAATATTTCAAGAATAAAATTATAATAACAATTATTATAAATAACAATTATTACAAATATATTTATTCTAATAAAAAATAAAATATAAAAATATAAAAAAAGCTAATTTTATCTTTATCTTTTTTTTGAATTATAGTTAAATATCTTTATAATTATATTTATTTAAGAAAGTTATAAATATTATATAATATAATTTTATTATATTTCTATTCTTTTTACTTTTTAGATAAAATTATTTAATATATAAAAGTTTTTTTTAATATGAATGTAAGATTTTTAAATTCACTCTTTTCTCTTAAGAAATTAGGTAATATTTGTCACTCCTCTTATAATCATATTTTTTTATAACTATTTTATTTTGCTTTTTTATTTATATATAAATATAATAAAAAAATCTTTTTATAATTATATTTTCTTTATAAATATTTAATTTGCTTTTTAAATAATTACTATAAAGAAATTAGATTGTATTTAAATTTTTTTTAATAATTCTTTTTGATAATAACAATTTTTTTGATAATAATAATCATGACAAAAAAATATATTGATCACATGAATCTGATTCTGATATTGATCATCTCTTAAAATCATACAACAATTAAAAAATATTTCTTGTAAAATTTTATTATAAAGAACTCTCCCTAAATATACTCTCTATAAATGCACACACTAAATATATTCTCTCTAAATGTGCTCTGATTCTGTCTGATCTCTAATTATTTATTCTTCATAAATACATATCCTTTCTAAATATACATTTTGTTTTTTCATGATTCCAAGAGAGGTGCACTTAGAAAAAGTTCTCTATATATATTATTTTCATGTTTGTTATATAATAATCTTAACTTAAATCTAATTCTAACCCTAATTCTAATTCTAACAAAAATTCTATTTAATATTATACATTATAATTAAAAAAAAATATCAAATGGTGGTATTAATATCAAAATTATGTGATTGATACTTTTTTTCACTAGAGTACTAATAATAAATATTTCTGAAATATGTGATAGATTATGTCAATTTTAGCAAAATTCAGAAATTAACATTAAAAGTTGATTTAAAATTAGAATCAGGATTAGAATTAGAGTGGAGAACAAGATTATATATAAATTGTCTTCCTGAAATTTTTATTAGTATTCCAACTAACTTTCTGTTAGATTTGTTCTGCTAATCTGATTAAAAATTTTTGCTTTCTGATTGGTTGCTGATCAAAATTTGTGCACTCTTATTGAATATCAGCGTAATTTATCACACATTTTAGATGTTAATAAACTTGATTGTTATAAAATTAATTATATTATATATCTTATTTTTTAAGATTCAAAAAACTTGTATATAACAAAATACGATATTTATAAAAAAAATAAAATCTTAGCATTTTCTGAAAATAAAAAAGATGGGTAAGTTTTCAAAAGAAATTATTTATAATATGAAAAACTACAAAATATTATTTTTGCAATTATAAATATAATAATCAAAAACTCCAAGTAAATATTTTTTCTTTCTATGCAGTATACAAATACATGTAGAACTGGTCAAAGACTTTGATTTTAAAATGGTAGAATTTGTAAAAAATCAAGTACTAGTTATTATAGCAGGCTTGGATAAGTATAGTAAATATGAAAAATTTGATACACTCTATCTCATTATAATATAATAGTTGAAACTTATATAAGAAAATTATATTTAATAACAAGCTTACTAATTATGCTGTTATAATGAATTTTTATATATTTTATATGTAAGACTAAAATTTTAAAAGTTATTATAGTGTAAATTTATTATATGGCACTGACTATAGTATTCAGTGTATTATTCAATCAATTGCAAAATTTATTGAATAGTATTCAGATGGGTACTTTGTATAGTAGAGAGTATACAAGAAAGGGAATATTGTGTGATAGAGATACTGTAATGCAAAAATACAAATCATGAGGAATATTATTTATAGGAAGTCTTTTAAATGAGTTTAATATTAAAATACAATATGATAAATTTATTGATCTGAAACTACAAAATATGATTTTAAAAATTTCTATTTTTCACCTTTTATTCTTCTTCTCTATAATTAAAAATACCACACGAAAATAAAAACAGTGAACGTGCTCAGTTAATTGATAAAAAAGACATTAATAAAATACATGTGAAAAACTTGCTGTTATTACTTATCTTGAAAAACACCAAACTAATAGTATTCATGCAATGATTACTGCTTTCAATATTGAACCAAAACAAGTAAGAGACTGACATGACAAAAAAGAATAGTTAATATGTGTTTTACTTTATATTTGATGAATGAATTCAAGAAAGTCATCAAAATATTCAGAATTAGAAAAGAAAATTTATAATTGGATAAAAGAATTGTGCAATTAACAAAAAGTTATAATATGATCTATAGTTCAAATTAAAGCAAAGACACTATCACAATAATTATCTTATCTTATTCTTTATCCTGATATTGCTGAGAGCAAATTTTTCAGTAAATAAATTGATGAATTTATGACTCATTATGAATTATCCAATTATCATTGAACTACTATAATTCAAAAACTTCCTGATAATTTACAACTATTATAATATGAATTTTTAAGTTTTGTTTTGTATTGACGAATTCAATATGATTATCCTCTTAATTTAATTGACAATATGAATAAAACTTCTTTATTATTTAATCTTTCTATTAATACAATAATTAATAATTAGAGTACTAATACATTTTCAATTTGAACTTGTAATTATGAAAAATTCAATTTTATAGTTGTACTTGACTGTATAACAGACAGAACAAAACTATTATCTGTTATTATCTTCAAGTTGATTAATATTTTATAACAAATCTTTCTTTCAAAAGTAATAAATTGTGCAAATTTAACTGAATGAATGAATAAAAATGAAATATTATGGTAAATAGAAAATATATGGAATTAACGATTGTGAACATTAGTAAATTTATGTTCACTTTTAGTTTTGAATTCATTTCAAGAACATATTGTGAATTCTATAAAATGCCAATTTATGGAAAAAATACAAATTTAGTTATAATTCCTGAAGGATTGACTTCTAAATTGCAATCATTAAATGTTGTAATTAATAAGTCTTTTAAATCTAAAGTATTTAATTTAGTTTATTTATATATATTTTATTATATATAACTAAATATTATTTATTAATAGATACGATATTTTTATAATGAATGAATGGTTAATGATATTCAGACTTATATCAAATTTGGCTGTATTCAGCATCCTACATATAATCTTATTGCCCAATGGATACTTAATGCATGGAACAAAATTGATCCAATTCTAATTTGCAAATTTTTCAAGTATTGTGACATTTCTAATAGTCATAATGGTAAAGAAGATTATATGATTTCTGATTATGATCAACTTGATCAATAAATAAATTCACACAATCATATATATGAAAATGAGAAATCTATTAATAATGTTGGTGAGAGTTCAAATTTCAATTCTAATATTGAAAGTGAAAATATTAGTGAATTGGTTGATTTAATATTAGTAGAAAATAATGAGATTAATGAACAAGAAGTTGTTAGTGAAGATGATTATTATAATGTAGAAGAAATCAATTATATTAATGAGTGAAATTGATTTTTTTAATAAATCGTAATTTTTTATATATAACATCTATAATAATAATACTGGGTATTATATATGGTAAATATTTGTACAATATCCAGGTATTTTTCAATTTTTCAAAAGTTAAACCTATGTAACTTATCCGGATCTTATTCATAGTGAATATTGTACTTGGAGGGGTACTGTAGTCAGTGCCGTACGATAATCAATAATCCATTATAATGAGAGTAAAATGTATACTTTATAATTATAAGCTAAATTTATCTTTTTATGCAATACAACAAATACACACAGAACTGGCCAAAGACTTTGGTTTTAAAGTGGTAGGATCTGTAAAATCAAGCACCAGTCATTATAGCAGGCTTGGGTAAATATAGTAAATATGGAAAACTCGATACACTCTACCTCGTTATAATATAGTGGTTGGGACTTATATAAGAAAATTACATTTAATAACAAGCTTACTAATTATGCTGTTATAACGGATTTTTATATATTTTATATGTAAGGCTAAAATTTTAAAAGTCCATTATAGCGTGAATTTAATCAATAATGAGGGTAGAGTGTATATTTTACAATTATAAGCTAATTTTATCTTTTTATGCAATACAACAAATACACACAGAACCGGCTAAAAATTTTGAACATAAAGTGACAGATTCAATAAAGGATCAAGCAAAAAAACATCCAGTAGTCACAACCACGGCAGTAGGTGTGGGTGTTTTAGTAGGACCGCCTCTAGTCGTCGCTGCGGTAAATGGACTTAGATTTACCGCTAACGGAATAGCAGCTAATTCTTTTGGTGCTGGCTTAATGTTCACATACGGAGGCACAGTAACATCCGGCAGTGTATGTGCTACATTACAATCTGTGGGTGCTGCTGGGATAGGATATGCAATGACTGGAGTTGCAGCTGCAGTTAGTGATATTGGTGGGTATGTTGCTAGCAAGACATATATATGATAACGGACCTAAGTTTTAGTCGCATGATTTGTCAATATTTACTAGATTCCCATTTACTAAACCATTTTATCGATATGTATTGTAATTTCTTTTATAGTTGATGAGAATCTCGAATAGTGTATACACATAGCGCGTTTTATTCCATGTACTTTGCAAATTTCACCGATTTTCTAGTGTATATACAATAAACCAAGTTTTTAAGTAATATATGAAAAAAAACTTCCTCTAAACACCATCTTAAGGAGGAAGGACACCAGATTGACGTTCTCAGAAGAGTTATCTGGAAACAATGTTTGGCTAGCTACTAATATACATATACAGTATCTGAACAAAAGTTTCATTGTTGTTAATTATACAAAAATACACATAGATTTTGTAGAACTTGAATATAAAAAAACTTCACACTTATCAGGCAGTGATATTGTATTATCCTGAGGTGACTTCAAAAAATTGAGAATGATCGCGTGTATAAAGAAAGTTATTTGATTATGAGAATTGCTGCTCGTTTGTATCCAAAGGTTTGTTGGGCGAGAAGGAAAGGCAAAGAACAATAAAATGTCAAACAAAATATATGACTTTGTATTTATAGGACCTCCAAAAATCACTACCGAGAATATCAAATTATAACGAATTAAAAACATCAAGTATCCCATGCTCTTTTTGGATGACGACTAGAATACTAGTCGATATACTATACACATCATAGGAGGACTTTCGTGTGATTGGCTGATGTAAATCAATTGTCCGGGGTTGTCCGGATAATTTATTTATATACTT